TATATCCAACCTGGTCTGAGTATGCGTTATCCCTGTTCCACTGGTCAGCGTCTCTTCCATAGTCATTGTTGCTGTCATACGCATTGCTTGCTTTGGCGATATTCGGGGCACTCTGTTTAAGAAGGCATAAAATGACTCAACATTAAACGCTATCTGTAGTCCATCTTACAAGGGTTACGCTGCAACGAGTCATTACTTCGAATCTTTTTGTGATAATGCAGTTCTTAACACCAATAAATTACCTCAATTTTGAATAGTTTGTATAGAGATTTATCAACGATCCTAAATCTCTCTCGAGATAACTACTTACCATTCGCGATAATCTTCTAGAGTTGGTGTTATCTGTGTAAAATCAAGAATAAAAGTACCGAAAATTTACGGACAGAAATATATGGAGATTTCAGGTGTTACCACGGCAACGCCTAGGAAAACATCCATCACAAATTAAATTTTCATTTCTTATAAGCTGCTCGACAATTTTATCTTCTTCAACAACATGAGATCTGTTATTCAGCGAAACATGTGCGTGCAGCATTGAATGCCAAATAGAAACGTTGGGGCTCCTAATCACCTGCTCGAACGAAACATCTAGCGATTGTAAGATGTTCTCTTACATAGAACGGCTTTGTAACGTTACACGTTTTAAAATGCACGTGCAAAGCTGTTGTTTTGCTCATTAAAACGTTTGTTTCGCTACGTTCCCGTTGCCGTCGCCGTCGCCGTCGCCGTCATAGCTATCTTAGAGTCCCTATTAACTCTTTGACACTAAGAGTGAGTAACATCTAATTTCTCCTTACAATATCACCCCTGAATCACACATTAAGGTCAGGAGAATAAAGGAAATGATCACCAACTAAAGAAGTTCTTGATTGTTAAACAAATTCTCCTTGTCAGCACCCTTGGAAATGTATAGAGAACAGTATGGAGAATATGCATACTGATGCTATGGTGCAAAGGGTTAAGTACGGTGGCCCAGAAGGCTCAACGCAAACAAAAAATATACTGCAGCAAATAAAAAAAATCAAGACGCAAAGAAAAAAAGTACCGCAGCAAATAAAAAAATGCAACGCAAACAAAAAATACTGCAGCAAATAAAATATGCAACGCAAACAAAAAAAAGAAAACGCAAACAAAAAAAATTGGAACGCAACGCCAAGGAAGACTGGGTAATAGTTCTTAGTTTCCCGCCAA